GAACACCCAAACTCTTTTGCCTTTCTTAATCTTGGCAAGTTCAGAATAAACTGAGAATGAAACACAATCAAACCATACAACTCCATAAGTAAAGACATAACAAGCAACTCCCCTGCAGAGACATCCAACATTTTTGGAACAAAACGTAACAAAATAGTATTTTTGATACTGTGATGTGTATTTGCAAAAAGCAATATTATTTCCTCCATTAAAGAACAATATTCATCCTGCTCTAACCGAGAAATAATCAACTTTGTTTTGAACCCATGAAAAACATAAAAAATAGGTTATTTAAGAAAAATTGAAGCGCCTGCATTGCATGGTCTTTCATGTACCTTAAGTTTGCAAAGACCTATTAAATACTTACATAATTTCGAACGTCCATATTTCAGGAAACAATGAGTTAAGACTTACATGTAAGATGTCTAAATCTACGCCATATCCCTTACAAACCCTAACGACAAGTCGCTGAAATACAAGTTACCCTGATATGTCATTAATAAGCAAACAAACGCTGGAGTTAAAATTTGATACGCCGATTTTCGCTAATTTTAGACACATCCCAAAATATGCTCCCGATTTTGAACATTAATATCTCCGTGAATTTTTAAGTAAAATGCAACTGTAATATATCAAAATCTAAGTTAGTCCTTCCTCTATTTAATGCAAGTTACTTCTGTTTGATAGCTTTACTTGTTTAGAAGTTATTACAAATCAAACCGGAGTACTTTTTTTTGGGCCACCCGGTACACTAGACAAGGGTCAAGTTAGGGTCAAGTTGTGAAATCCAATAACAAACACTAGCAACAAAAACTTATCTAATAATGTCCAGAGATACACAAAGTTACAATGATGCACCAACAGAATGGCAGGAGTTTGTACTGTCGTTACAATTAGCAGAACAGGAAACCAATGTTCGATATATACTATAATAATTTGAATTATTTGATCTTGTTACACGCGGGGAATTTAAAGTACTGTTGCCAGGAGACGAACAACAAAAGATGCGAAAGCCAACGGTCAAAATATATAGAATGATGAATAATTCAAATTCGACACAGCATATATACTGGTAAACTTGGTATAAGTGTTGTATCCAATAAAAGATAAGTTTCCTCTCAGTGATGAAAATTCCGTTTCAATTTAAAGCGTAATATTCCAAATAGTTTACTGATTTATAGACACTGTCTGCAGTCTATATACACAGACGTAGCAATCACAAATCCACCATAAATGCGTGATAGGATGAGTATATATACACAAAATATGAATCCAATGAACGCTGGTAGGTTTATATATGATTTTATTTCGAATTCACATATATTTCCTTATATCTTGAGATAATTATTAATTGAAATATACAGAGGTCAGCAGTACCCGGCTTGCTACCATACTATCATGGTTTTTTTTTTTAAAAAAATGCTTTTTTATGGTATAACTATATATACAAACATGCAATAATTCAATTGCTAAGTGCTTATTGATCTATATAAATGTATCAGTATCTATAATGTCCTCAGTCCTCTCAACTTGTGGGCTTGACTACAGACTATTCAAACTCTTTGTCGACGCCTGGCTTCTACACTTTTCATGTTTATTTTTTTATCACCTGATTTGGTGTAGGGCCTTCATTAGAAAATCTTGCAGAGCAATATGCCCGTAAAGATATGCCCAAACGTAAAGATTTTGCCAGATTTGACAAAAATGATTATACTGACAAAAAATTTATACCCTATATTCTGCAGCCAAATTTCCATCAAGCATTTTTGCACCAAATTTATTATTTTACTCTGTCTAACGGAAGACAACTTTACTCTGTCAAATGCCAAATCATTATGTTTTACTATATGTCTAATGACAGACAATTTTATTTGTTAAGTGGTGAGTCTGGCACATTAATGGAATAAATGTTTAATTAATAATATAACAAAGTACTAAAAGTAAGGCACATTGCTTCTAAATATGCCAACACAGCAGCTTTTGCAGTTAATTATTAACCTTTCAATAACCAACACTCATCTTGATGAGTAAAATCATCTGATAATTAACTATCAAAGTACTGAAAGTGGGGAGTGTTAGGATGAATTGCTAAATGTGTTAACAACAAACAATGCAAAATAGTATGGTGTTAGACAAGCCAAAATATTGAACTTTGAAATAGAGCAGATTAGTGTGAATTGGGTCTTAATGAGTTTACACATAACACAGGGGGACAGCAAAATAAGCTATCAAAGTTGTCCACTCTCTTTCACAAGTAAAATATTTGATCTGGTGTTAGACAAGGTAAAATAAAAAGTACAGAAAGTTGTGCATATTTATCCTAACGAGATAGCGTGAAATGTAAGTATTGAGTCTTGTTAACTTGAATATACCATCACATAGTTAAATGTAGATTTCATAAAAAAATATGGAGAATTTTCCTGGCATTACACTAAGGCTAACATTTTAATTCATATTGACTGGTGCAATTACACCTCTCCCAATGAAATATCAATTTTAATTTGAACAATAACATATGAATAAATATCAGAATCTTAGGAAGGTTGCTGCTGATTTGAGCAGGTAGATAAATTTTCAAACTATATGTAATATCAGCATATAGTACTATATAGTCTATATGTATAGGCATGCTTAATGTCTGCAATTAATCTTGCATATACAGTTAGCATATACAAATATATTAACCAATAAACATTGATAAGTCTAATTCAAATATAAAACTCTTATAGTAGCATTTATTGAAGTATAAATGACAGGTAAATATATTTATATCAGCGTTCTAATCCACTATTGTCGCGGCAAATTAAATTCAAATTTTAAACCGATCGAAACACATGCTCGAATTTCACGAATGAAGATTGGACTAGGTATTCCTTAATAATTTGCTTTATTATAAACAAAATATAAACATATGCTCACCTGAACATTATACAAACATCGCCGATGTATTACTAGTGAAAATCCAGTTGAATCTCATCAAATATAGTTCTATTTTGAACATATAAAGCATTCATAAAAAAATTTGTTGACCGAGGTGTGACGACCTATCCAAAGATGCTTTGTGCACGTGGCAAAAAACTAGACACCAGTCTGTTGGTCGCGCACATTGCGTTAATTATTCATTTAATTAATGTTAGAACAAATTTATTTTCCAATCCTATAGGAATTCCTATAGGAATTTTTATTTCCTATATGGATATATATAGGAATTTCGTTTTCCTAAAGGAATTTTTTCACCATTTCCAAATCTTATATGAATTCTTATAGGAATTTTCAAATCCTATAGGAATTTCATTTCTTATAGGAATTCCAATAGGAAATTTTCGTAAGAGTTGGCGTAGCATTGCCATAGAAATCATATGTATGGATTCTCTATGGGAGGCCAGAACCACACCAGGTTCAGACTACCATGTAATTCACATAGATATTGGAAGTATATGGCACAACCAAGTGTGGACAACCATATAATTCCCATATATGGGAATTATATGGGACAACCAAGTGTGGACTACCATGCATATAATTCCCATAGGTATGGGAAGTATTTGGGACAACCAAGTGTGGGCTACCATATAATTCCCATAGAATTGGTTATATGTAAAAGCATGCCATTGATATGGATTACCTATGGACCACGTAACCTCACAGATTTCGCAAAGGATTAATAGCAATGTGTTTGTTTCCATAGCTTTTCCATATCTCAATATTTAACAAATTTAGACACCATACCAATCCCACATGATATCTATACTGTCCCATATCATGCCCACATATGGGTCATATATTACCCAAACTTTGCCATATCTTTCCCATACTTTTGCTTTGGTAAGGGTAAGTACTCAAAAATCGCCAGAGGTGTTTTAACTTTTTTTTATTGATATTTAAACCCAATAACGTTATATAGGTGCATGTTTCAATACAATTATTGCGTATATACTCGCTGGCATGGTGATTCCCTAACTCAAAAATTGTATTATGATTTACAAACATGCACCGATATACAATATAATGATGTCGCAATTTCGGTTTTGTAGCAACATCCAGAAATTTGAAATGTGTTAAACGATGAAAGGAACCTTTTCGAAGCGTGTCCACTGTTCTTCATTTCGGTATCCCTCCCTGTGGTTGTAATGAAGAGCAAAATTATTGCTCCCTCCGGCTGGCAATGTGACATATTCTTTAGGATTTGTAGTATTCATATCTGCACAATAGATCCTTGAAGATTGATTGCATTCTGGCAACATCAGGTAAAGATTATATTCTCCATCATGCGAATCCAAACCAATATCTTTTATTCCCTTGCATGAGCTGGGATCTAGGAGCAAATTATTTTCTCGTGTAGTTTTACCTCTAGATGTGATGAGGAACTATAACTGTTATCATCTTGGATGAACAAAGTTCATTGACCATTCATCGAAATTAATCTTTGATACTTCCGAATCTAATCATTAAAAAATGTATGTATTTATAAAGCAAATACTTTGGTTTATTGTGACCTTACTTGTTGGCTGGGTTGTGGGAACATTTTCTGTTGTTACTTTCTCAGTAGGTTTTGCTGGAAAGAAAAACACAGTTCATTTGTCAGAAGAAAATGACTTGAATCGCTAGCATTATTTCCAAGAAGCATGTAATCCAAATTATGTTCGATCATTGTGATCTGAATTGTAAGAATACTCTCTGCCCCTATAACATACTGTGTTGTATTTGTAGTATAAGCATATTTTTACTGAAGCTTACCTGTTGATGAGGTTTGTGCTTTCGCTGCCGGAGTGCTTGATGAAACAGGATCTTTTGGTTTCTGCAGGAAAATAAACAAACAGTTAATTTTAAAGAATGATATAATCAATGTCCATGCTCCCCTTGATGCAAATGGAGAAATAGTATACAAATAACTAGAAATACATGCAAATCTCTCGGCGGCATTTTCCAAACATTCTTTCAACATATGCATGAAATATTCTCAATTACGCCAACATCGAAGCAGGCTCTGGTTACTCGCATTATCCATGGAAAACGATCATTGCTTTTTTTAATTTTTTTATGCAAAACGGTTAAAACAAATTAATGGTTCACACTTTTAAGCACGTGGAAAGAAAAATTTCATCTTTTACTGAATGAAAATCATACTGTTGTACGAAAAGGAACATTCGTTATTTTCTTTATGTGACACCACAATACTGAAAATGGATCAATTTTACTAAATTTTTAAGTAAATGAAATACAAAGCAAATACATTCTTCGCTCAAAAAAATTTACTATTTTATCGAAAATTGCCAACGAAAGTTTTAGTGAAGAATATTATGATAATAGCTGTAGTTGTTGTAGCCGCAAAAACTATCATAAAAGTTAGCGTTAAAATAGTTTATTTTTACTCCCGCCATTTTGCTTTTGTCGAGTTATGTATTTGAATTTAATTCTATGGACTCAGTCTGAAATAGGGTTTTCACTGATTGAATTTAATTAAACCCCACCATTGAATAACACAAAAAATATTGCACCGCTGAGCATATTGCATGCTGTATAGATTTTGTAGCTATTATTGCACGATAACAGAATGAGAATTTTAATTCCATATCACGTGATCCTAATCAGACAATAAAATAACCAGAATTTAATAAAGGTGTTACATAATTGTAAATATGTAATATACAGTAGCTTTATCACAATTAGTAATGCTAACAGAAACAGTTGGAATATCATTAAAATAAATATGTAGAGATGATGAAGAAATACACTACGAGATCTGGAGCTGACACTGGCTTGGGTAGAGCTGTAAAAGAGAGGAATAAAGAATCCATGAAATAATGTAATAGAGAGAATGAGTTGTAGTTAAGATATTGTTTCAGGAGACAAACGAATCTCCATCTGCGAGAAAAGGGTACCCACCTCAAATTTTAAGCTTTTAGAGTGGATCGTTAGAGTCAGAACAAATTACGACATTCAGAAATTTATAACGTCGATACTATTCAGTTTTCGCCCAGCAATGTTCCGACCAATCACATTGCTGAAATTTGTTTTTCGATTCTCTTCCGCAAACACATTTGCTGAGCGTAAAGCCCATAAATTACTGTACTAGTTGACTAAATATTCTCTGTATGTGAGTTGTGTTCAGTAGAATTTACCAAAGAGTAAACACTTTAGCATTGACTGAATAAGTGGATAAGAAGATCTTTCAGCCCATGTATTTTAGCTTGGAAGTGAAATATTAGCCAGACAATACTTACTCTATCCGGTTGAAGTAATATGTAATATTCAAAATTTTCATTTCTTTTTAAACTCCCCGTCGGCTCTTCTGAATCAATAGTTTCGAGTAGCTCACAATTTTCTTTCCCTCCACCTGTTGACGTTTTTCTGAAGTTAGCAGATCTGCATGATTTACCTTGAACCACACACTGCATGATGCAATCCACTCCAGACATTGCGTGAACATATTGGGTCACCTTTGTAGTATCCAAACGATAACCTTTTGTAATGGTAAAATATATAAGTTTTAAAAAGAAAATCACTGATTTGTGAAAATAAAATGGAAAACAGTTCGATCCTAAGTTGACATACCGAACCGACGATATGAAACCTACAAAAAATGAATACTTGATAAGAGTATCCCAGAATCGGACTAGTTTTCACAGGGCCTGTCGAAAAAGGGTTCAAAAACGAGAACTTGGGTACTTCCAAGTTCTCTAGCTAACGCTGGGGCGCCGGTTGTATAAAAACGTCGTTAACTTTAACTATGATGAGCGTTAATCACTGTAGTTAAATCCTTAAAGCTGGGTTACAGTCCATTCTGCGCATGTCTCAAATGTGTACACATTTTGTAAACATTGTCATAGAAAAATATTACGTAATACTATAAACTGTTAGCATTTCAGAAAAGATGGCTGACGCACAGGAGTGCCAAAATTCTAATTGTTTTTAACTCGCTTATATATTCACATCAAAGCAAGAAATACGGTCAAAAAAGAAACTTTATATCTAAAAAGATGTTTCTAAAGTGTGTTTTTACGAATATTAGTTATTCCGTTGTGCAATTGTTTCAAAATCAAATAGAAACTAATATGTATGAAGCCGCTTGTCAGTTGTTATCTTGCTCGGTGAAACTAAACGT